AATAAACTCCCAAAAAAGGCTACTAGGCAATATTTATGACACCTTCACAAGAAAAATCATTTACTGGGAGTATTAGTGTTTATGTAACGATCATCTGGTTGCCTGCCAGTCTGAATGAATCACTATGAGCATCAGCTGAGTGTGACTAACAGCTAAGCAAGCAAGCATTGTTCTTAGAACCCCAGCCAGGGCCTAACTAGGAAATAACTAGATGCTAATTAAATATAGTACTTTTTAATACTCCTGGGTTACAACTCAGTTAAGTAAGGGAAACTTTTGGAAGGCAGATAGTTATACTTGACCAGATGATGTGAACTAAAGAAGTCTTCCCCAGATGGGAAAATTAGATTCAAGTGCAATCAGATGGCCTATTCAAAGGAACAAGATTCACAGCCGGTCTTAATTGGTGATACCTATCAGGAGTGACCATTAATGTTAGCTCGCGCCAGTTCCCAAGACTTCAAATTCCAAAATGCCAGGAGCCAGGAGATCCCAAGAAGAGTCCGGAAGGCCTGGTGGTGTCACGCCAAGGAGAGCAGTACCAGGCCCCGCCCACACTAACCCTAAACCAGCAGATGAGTACCTGCAGACTCTGCAGAGAGGACTTATTGCATCTACAATCCTAAATTTGCTAAAGGTTTCTAATTAGAAATATGAAGCAAAGACAAGAAAAATTTTCAAGATCTGAGAGACCCACAATGGTTCTCGACCTTCTTTCCACCCCCACGCCAACTCTCTCCTTTCGGCCACACGTGAGCTGCCCTCAGCACAGCCATTCCAGTCTTCACGTGGCTACACCACCTCTAAGAGGCTCCCCCAACTCAGCTCACAGCCTCTGCCTTGTTCACCTGCTCACCCCCCCCCATTTAATCTCACTTCCTGAAAACTTTAAATTGACAGTCGGTTCCCATTTATAAAGGACCTCCTCTCCATACCCTTTGAGGCCTGGAGTCCCTGGCAGCCACGTGACTCATTTCCTTACCACACAGCCATTGGCTGTGCCAACTCCCAACCCTGGGGCACTCAGTTCACCCACTTTCTCTGTTCCCAGACTACAGAGCTGTACTAAGAGTCACGAATAACCTAGTCAGCTACCAGCTCATTTATCTTCCAGTGACACCACTGGATTACTCAAAAATCCCTCAGGGCGTCCTCCCACTAACTCACTAGGCAATAAACTATGTGTTTGTGAGTAAAAATAGATACACTGCCAAAAATAGCACAGGGACTATTTGGGAAAACTTAAAGTTCTTAATCTGGGAACATCCAACTTCAAAAGTAAAACAGAGCAAACAAAAAAATGCCACCCTGAACTGCCAACTCGGGCCACTGTTACACCGCCGCACTCCCACCCTTCACAGCTACTCACGTGCGCTACCACCCCACCTTTTATGGGTACCACACCCACAAACTACCTTCCTACCACAAGCTCGCTGTGATGAGAGAGGAGCAAACAACTCTCAGGCACGATTAGGTAAACAACCACATCATAAAATCTTTGAGCTTCTTCAACAGAAACCTGTGTTGGTGGTGGTGTTTTTAAAAGTGAACTAGAGGGATGAGATCTTTTCTGGCTAACTCTTTCCTAAGTTAATGGCCTTGAAAGTGAGGATTCTGCCTGGTCTCAAACTGGGAACACCCACAGTCGGTCACCACTTGCCCGGGCACAGGAAGACTTCCTGTCCTCACTGGGTGAGGTGGCAGTTCTGCTGGCCAGAGGCTAAGCGTCAAGCTCAGAGCAGGTGAGTTCCGATTGTTAACATCCACTCGTAGAGGATGTCTACAGGAGTCCTAAGGGCAGGAAGAGACCACCTTTTCTTGTTTTTGGCTTAATTGAACATTTTCATGGGGATTGGCAGGGATTAAACACAACCCCATGTGAATGGCGTTACTGCATGCTGCCGTCCCTGGAGGCACCAGGACTGAAAGCTGATTCAGAAGCTGTGCCCAGTTCCATCACAGGGAAGTTCAAACAGCCACCACCAAAGAGGGCAGGAGTGGGAGGAGCACCCAGACAGGAACGGGGGACTGGCAGCCTCACCTTGGAAACTAGGAATTGTACCAACCTAGGGACTGAATTTGGGAGCCTATAGGCTTACATAAAACATACTAAAGGCAACATGAAGAAACAACTGGTGCCAAGGACATGAAAAAAATTTCAAATAATTTAAGTCTTGCACCTAATTCATGGCAGGAACTCAAATTCAGTTAGTACCGTGTTTATGCTAAAAACTCCTGGTCTTCAGAACAAGCGGAACCCAGATGCTGTGAGTTTGCCTTTTATGCTCTCCTGCTGAAGCTAAGACCCAGAAGTGCTGGATTCCGTTTTTAATCAAACATGGCAAAAAAAAATAAAAATGAACATCTAATAGATGAAATTATTTGTTCAGTAAGCCCATTCGGGTAAAGGCTTGGAATTTAGTCACCAGTGATGACAATGGTTATTATACCTAAAAGTATACTAGAAACATTAGCCCTCAGTTTCAGGGGGCTTTAGCATAGTGGTTAAAGTGACAGCTTTAAATTCAAGAGTTCAAATCTTCACTTTACAACTTGACCTTGAGAAAAATTAACATCTTTAAATCTCCCTTGTAAAACTGAATTAAGTGTCCAGGAAGAGAACATGGAATTAAATGAGAACATGGAAGTAACAGCCACAATTTACTGAGCACCTAGTAAGTAAAATACGAAACATAGTCCATGAACTTGAACTGTAACACGGGATACTCATTTGGGCCATCCCCTCCCAAGCCACCTCTGGAAAAGCAGGACAACTGCACCCCACCACCAATACAGTTCCAGGCCGAGTGGGGTCCCTAACTGTGGGAGCTCTTCCGGGGGCAATTCGGCGATCCCGCACCCAGGAAGGGGCCGCAGCTCCCACTGCAGTGCAGCAAAGCCATGTGAACCGTTCACCACGTGAAGTTGCTTTAATCCAGACTGCTGAAGAGGAATCCAGAGCCTTCTTCCCTCCAGCCAATATAACCAGGCAATAACAACACTATAAATGACCATTTCATGGAAAACAGGCTATCATTTTATCTGAATTTCACACCATAGTATTACCAATGTGGCTTTAAGATTCCACACTAACCAGTTTTGGTACACCTTTTAGTATCTGCAACTCGAGTTGTCTCACCCTGGGCCACTCAGCCACGATCCTTTTATACACCACCTGCTCCTTTCCCTACTTCCCATCATCTCCCAGCTGTTGGAACACGAGCCTTTTTCCCACTGGTGGGCCAAGTGCCTCTTCCTCTCTGGCTCCTGTTTCCGTAAGCGGCAGCGTGGCTTCCTGCCCTTAGGACTTCTACAGATATCCTCTAACCCGTTCAGACATATCTCCCCCTATCCTTAATCAACTCTGTAATCAAGCATGTATCAACATACCGTTATCCCAACTGATATTTTACATTTTATACCTTCACAATTACCATCTGTTTCAGTATCATAGATGACTTATGGCAATGAGACATGACTGCATTATGTCGATCCATAAATATTCACCAGAAATCTACCTGGTTATTTATACTCTCCCTAAATCACTTAAATCTTATGCACTGACATTTTAATCTCACAGGTTTATTTCATAGTTCTCCTAAAATGGTATTACACCCATTTTACAGAGGTCATGAATTGTGTAAGGTCATCCCAAGCCTAGCCTACAAAGGACTTGGGTTCTAGAATTTTTCTCGATGTTTCCTCACACTATCACACTTTTTATAAGCTACTAGGTATGAGATGAGGAGAGCTTGAAGACACCCCTTTACTTCAGAAACATTCCGTGCCTCTTCAAATTATGCGGTGAGGCAGGGAACTGCAGCTCTCAACTTGTGCTCCAACAGCGTTGTTTCCAGTACGCATGACTTTTCTTAAAGCTTACCGACACCATCCTCCAGGTGACGCTGGTAGCATTAGGAACACCATTACAGGCAGGCAATATTATAAGGTGACCATTTAAATTGTAAAGGAAAGGGAAAACAGGTTAGAAGGAAGACTAAAAACCGACTTGACAGTAACGTCAACATTACACCTCAGACCCAAAGCCAAGAGATGCTAAGTTCCAAGGTCATAGAGTGGTGGCTTCGGAACACTCCTTGCTGAGGCATGCGGCTCTGTCCTGCCTACAGCAGCCTACTTACCTGTCCCCTTCCACCGCCCTGACAAGCCGAGGGTTACTGGAATTCAGACTCTTTCCAATAACTCCATGTAAGGCCTATTGATACTAATAAAATGAAGAAAGTCTTCCCAATAACATTAAGAATTTAACATATATCAACTGACCAGGTAAAAGTTTTCCACTGAACTCTGCCATGTTCTTTCCAATAAATATATTCCATTAATTCAGATGACAGAAACATTTTATAATGAAACAGGCATACTGACAGAGTTCATATTTTTTTAATCGTTGTTACCTTGAAGGAATGGTTTATCAAAATTGAGACAACACAGAGCTTGGATTTTCAATGCTGATGATGGCTTATCAAAGCCATCGATCATCACAGATCCAAGTATTAAGATTCCCAGTACACAGAAGGGTCTGTTAGTTTGCAAAATGCTACCTTAAAGTCTCAGAGAAAAATCTATGGACACAGGCAGCCAGCTGCAGAAAAGCATTTTTCAAGCCTGCTTATGAAGACTAGAAAGCCAATTCTTTTATTTTCCAATATAATGGGACTATATTTCATTCTGGTACCTCTCTCAATTCTTTCCTTACTTCCCATATCGTTTGCCTCAGGTTTCCTGTGGCTCCAGATGTAACTTCTAGTCAGTTTCCCTTAACCACAATTCACCTCTCTTCCAACCCCCCTCCCTTCCTTATTCCTCAAAGGGCTCCTAACACCACAGGCACTCAGAGTGGGGGCCTCACTAAAATGTCCAGAGGCCTCCGCCTACGTGATCCCAGTACCACTCATTTGGTAGAAGAGGCTTACTTAAATGTGACTTGCTGGGTGGGCAGAAATTCGCTGTATGGCTTTATCCCCACGAAAATGAAGCTCAGGGCCCCTTCCAAGGAAATGCATTCATAGTCCTAATTCTGCAAAATTAACTGATTTTTACATTCATTTTCTTTAAAAGGGCACCAGAACTACAGATTTCAGGCCCCAAATCTAGATTATCCCTGGTTCGGATGAAAAGCTCCTGTCTCACCCACGACGGCACGCCAGGGCTCAGGTCAGGCCCGCCAGCGATCCACAACGGACTCTGGTGGTGGTGGTTTTCACACACACCTAATTCAATGTGTAACAGGACCACCACAGGAAAAACAACTCTCTGAGTATCTTTCTTAATCTGGATAATCCCAAATACTGCCTTCAAAAACATATTTCATATAATATCAAAGCCTTAAAAGCTTTTCAAATGACTCAAATTTTAGGAGCTTCTAAATCTGTAGGTTCTTCCCTAAGAAATCGCCTCACAAGACCAGCAAAAGGGCAAATGAGCTATAATCCATGGCAGTAATTCTCCACCTTGACCGGCTGAAAACTGCCAGGAGAGCTGTGTAAGTGCGTTATTTCTGAGTTCCACCCCTAGGGTTTCACAATCCTTAGGTTTAAGGTGGGGCCCAGGCAGAACCTTCCAGGTCTCAGAAGGTTGTACACTGGATGAACGTATATACCACACTGGTGGCCACAGTTGCAGTTCTACCACCGTGTGACCTTGACGCAGAGATATGTTCATTTAGAGTAAACGTTAAAATAATGTTAAGAGACAGGGACAGTGAGTATAACAGGAACTCTAGGTCTCAGAAAGCAGGTGGTGTCTAACCCACGGTCCTTGCTAGGGTGTGGCTGGCCAGGCACGGCTCCTTCACCGGAAGTCGAGCTGCAGAATCCATCTAGGAGGGTCTCGGGAATGCAAAGGCAAACAGGCTCGGCTCACCTAGAAGTCACGTCTCATTTCAACCTCCAGGAAGACGAGTATGAGCAGCAAACCCGAAAGTGTGGCCCCACGCCCGCCGCCCTCCGCCCTGTCCACGCCTGGAATGCAGGATGGGGGTCTCCGCACACAAAGCCAGTCCCCGGGAGTGGGAAGAGGGAGAGGACGACTCGGTGAGCAGAGCAGAGCAGATCGGGATCACACAGACTTCAGGGTGGGCCGGGAAACTGGCAGAGACAGGGCGCCACTCACTAGGTGATTCTTCATTACACCCTGGGTTTAGAGGGCATGCGAGAAGGGGCGAGCCCCAGGCCGACAGAAGGGTCTGCAACGAAGAATGTGGCTGCCTCACGTTTCCTCGGGCACCCCCTCGCCCCACCCCGGGGCTCAGGATGCGGCGACCCCCGCCCGTCGCCGCGGGCTGCACTCGCGACCCCGGGGGCCCCCTCCCCAGGGACCCCACCCCGGCCCGGCCACAGGAAAAGGCGGGACGGCCGGCGGGCGCGGGAAGCGCGGGCTGCGGCCGCGCCCAGCGAGATCGCCCGGGCCCGGGGGGAGTAGCCGCCCTGTCGCCCATCCCTCCCCTGCGCCGGCCGGGCTCCCGGCGCGCTCACCGCCTTCATGGCGGAAGCCATGTCGTCGTAGCGCTCCGCCTGCTCGGCCAGCCGCGCCCGCTGCAGCAGCTGCTCCCGGTCCCCCATGTCGCTCGGCCTCGCCTCGCTCCCCGCACCGCTCGGCCGCCCGTCCGCTCCCCGGTCGCCGCGGAGGCCGCGCACGCGCACTGGCTCGCCGGCCGGCCCGAGACTGCAAGCTGCAGGCTGCAGGCAGCGCCGCCGCTCGCGCCCTCTCGCTGGCTCGCCCCGCGCGCTGTGGCTGGCGCCGCCAACGCCGCGGAGGGAGGAGAGGCGGCCGCGCAGGGGGATGGGAGGGTGGCAGGACGCCTGCGCAGTGGGAGCAGTCGGGTCGGGCGGCGGGGAGTGGCGGGAGTGGTGGGGGAAGGGCGGGCCGGCCCTAACGGTCTATTTCAAGGTGACGTCACCTACTATAAATAGCTGCCGCCACCGCCCCGCCCCAGAGCTGCGCAGGCGCCCTGTGAGTGCTGCAGTTTACCGCCGCAGAGGTGGAGGTGGGCGAGGGCGAGTGGGGTCGGAACTACGGAGCCGGAGGAGGGGGCGCGGGGAGGGCGGCTGTGCAGGTAGCGTATTGTCACAGCCCCGCCCTGAAGAGCGCCTCTGAGTCCCGTGGAGGTCTGGCTTGAGCGGGGCTCCGAAGGCTAATAAACCCTACTGCTCGGAGAAGCCAGGAGGCCGCGTGCCCCAAGGGCGGATGGGGCCGCCCCCGCCCTATCTCCCGCCCCGGACCCAGCCTGGCCGAGGGGCTCGGGGGCCACACCCTGAACTTGGCTCTGCACAAAGGGCAGGAGAGGGGTCCGGCCTTTGGGGACTGCCCTCCCCCACCCGACACGCGCGCCCTCGCACACTCACCGGGCTGCGGAGCTGCGCTCCTAACCCTGTGAAGTGACGTCGGGCAGACCCGCATCGTCCAGGAGAGGAGGGACCGGGTGGCGGTTGGGATGAGTAACAGTCAAGACACTAGGAGCTGCCCCAGTGCTGGGCCTGTATCCGCATATCCTTACCACCCACGCCGCAAGTGGGCCCAGTTGAAGTCCCCATATTTTAAAGCCTGATTAGTGAAATGCTCAAGTTTACGCAGTCTAGATGATGGGCCAGGATCAGGGTTCTGACCCAGGCCAAACTTTCTCCTGTGGCAAGGAGGGGGCTGGTCTCTAAGCTAGCCCCTTCTTGTCATTATGTCCTAGGGGTCCCTCATAGACTGGGCTGGACCTCAAACAAGTAACTATCAAGTGACTAAAACACAGCTGACTTAAGTACAAGGTGCCAAGCGCAGCACAGGAGAGGAACCTTAGGCCTTTTGAGAATAATTGAGCACCTTCTGCACGCCCAGCACTGCAGGAAAGAGTAGCTATAGAGTAAGATAAAGCCCCTGCCTAAGAACAGGAAATTTAAATATGCAAGTGCAGAGGTAAGCTGGACCTAGAAGGGAGATGAGAGGAAGGGCCATTAGGGAGTGGGATCCAGCATGGGCAAAGGCTTAGCAATCAGACACAGAATCTGGGAGGTGAGAGGCCTGGCAGTAGGAAATGATGCTCAGCAAAACAAGATAATGGAGTTTTTTAAATGCCAGCCTTAAGATCTGAGTCATTATCCATAGGTAACTGGGAATCACGAGAGATGTAGAAGCCAATTTCAGGTCAAGAATCTTGCTCTGGAGAGTAAGATGCAATCAAAGGAGGAACGGAGGGACTGGACCTTAGTTTTACCAACTGGAAATTGGACTTAGACCATTAAATGCTCTGAATAGAAATCCTGCAATGTCAGAGCTGGCAGGACACTTGGAGTCACTATTCCAACCCTTTAACCTGCATAAGGAGAAACAGGTCTGAGGAGGAGAGTTTACACAGTGAGTGAGCAGAGCTGGGGCCTCTATGCGAGGTCTCCCACCTCCCAGGCCTTCTCCCTAAAATGAGGACCTAAGCATCCATGAAACAGGATTTCGGTGTAGGTCTGGGAGGAGGCCCCCACCCCAGGTTTTACTATGCTTTGAAGAGTCACATTTGCCAACTACAAATGGAATCTAGGTTAACAAACCAGGCTGACTTTCCCCTAGTGAATATCTGTAAAGAGAGTGATACGTAATAATTAGTTGTCTGTCCTGCTCTCTGTGAGGGCGAGGTTCCAGTGAGAGGGGTGGAGGGCCAGCAATGGAGGGACTTTCATGGTTCCTTCCAGCTCTTAGAGAGATTAGGGCCCCTGTAGTTTTTATGGTCATGTTGGACTGAGATTTATTTCAAAACAGTGAAAAATAGGTAGTCTGGAGCATCCTAGTTTATAAATGTCAAATGGGGACACTTTGGTTCTCCCATGAAGCCTTTCTTGCCTTCTCACCAAACTTCACTGTCTCCACCTCCTCCCCTCCCTCCCACCCCTCAGCCCAGGCTCTGCAGCGCTCTACCCAGGCAGTCAGCACCATGCCACCAGCAGCCTCCTGTTGTCAAATCCAAGATGGCTGGCCCCCTTGGCTGCACTGGGCACAAGTGCTCACCCCTTCTAGACAGGCTTTCCTCTAAGTCCCCATGACCCTGCGCCCTCCCGTCTTCCTTCTGCTGCTCTGCCACTCTTCTGTCTCCTGTGTGAGCTCATTTTCTTGGCCTCCCGTGGCCTACTGCTGGGGTTCCTCAGGGCTTTGTCCCAGGCTCTCTGTTCTCACTCTGTCGTTTCCTGGGCAACCTCATTCACACTACTCATGAGGATGAGCTACCTAATTCCTAGCGCAGGGCAATGAGCTTTGCAGAAATGGGTGTTATTTTTTTCTTCAAGATACCCCTGTAAGGTAGGTACAGTTTCTGTTCCCATTATTCAGATGAGGGCACTTGCTCAAAGATGTTGACTAAAGTAACCCAGCTAGTAATCAGCAGAGCCAGGAATCAAACTCAGGTCTCTCAGACTCCTATGCCTGAAGGCCCAACGCTGCCCTGCAGTATTTTGAGAAGGGCTCAAGGTCTGACTCCCCTTTTGGAGTCATTCATATTGTAAAAAGTACACACATACCTCTCCTCTTACAGCCTAAACACTTAACAGCACCCACCTTCTTCACCCAGGGAGAGAGCTACCAACTCCCCAAAGCCTCATAAATAAAATCAGGACAACCTCCTTGGACAAATCAGCTACTCCCAGGGCTCTAAGTCCCATTAATAAATGTAGCCTTTGAACAACTCCCAAAAGAGCCTCTGAACCAGGTGAGACCGGCTGATGGTTAAGGTCAAACATGCTGTGTTGCCTGGATCTCAGAGCTGGTTCCCAGGGCAGGGGGCCGAGTCTGCTATGTCTCTACCTGGTGTGGTGCAATGGGGAAGAAAGCTCTGGACTGAAGCTCAGACTCTGCCCTGCTCGTTACCAGCTGAGTACCCTTATAAAACAGGACTAAACAAACCTCTTTCTTAGGGTTAGGGATTGGCGAGAGCTCACACAGAATAGAACTGTGCCTGCAGGGTGCCAGCCATTGGAGGCACCAGCCATCACAGCTGTTGGATAACTAATTCTTTGCTGTGTCCTACCCTCAGCCAGTGCTAACTACAGCTCTTCAAGCAGGACTGGATTTCCAAAGCAAGGCCAGAACCCTCCGCCAGAGCCCAGTGGGTAAGTGACCCAGAAAAGGCACATCCTGTCTTTTTCTCAGGTGCTCTGGGACTCTGAGCTCCCTGAGAAGTCTGGACACCAAGGGATACATTACAAAGAAGACCTGGTATTGTTCTAGAAAGACGGCATTCACACTGTTGGCATGGTTACCATCTTGAGCAGAAGGGGCTGCCTGCCCATGGGTGAGTGTCACCCAGATAGGATTTTAAGTTTTTTTCCCCAAATGCAGGTAGGTCTCCTGCTGCCCAGGTAATCTTGATGATCTGAAACCAGTGGTAATAATACCATCACCAACAGCATCAACAGCAGATCCTATTTATTAATCACTGGCTGTCTGCCTGGCCTAAGGGTAAACACTTTCCCTCTATATATTATCTCACAATTCTCAAAAGGAGGTTGTTATCCTTATTACATGGATGAGGCAAATGAGACCTAGAAGGGTCAGACACTTGCTCCATGGGCAAGGAAGTCACACGCAACCTCCCCACTCATGCCCACATTCTGCCATTTGCTTTAGCCCCAGTGTCCTTTTGCTGATACCAAATTCCACCCACCCCCTCCCACCACCCACGCCGTGTCTAAGATCAATCCCAACACACGGATTTCAGGATCATCCAGAGCCTTCCGCCACTGTTTCAGAACTGCTTTGGGAGCAGATTGGCACCCAAGACAACTTTTGGCATTAAGAAGTGCAAAAATGTCCTGGTAGCTGCAATCTGTGAGCTGGAGGAGCTCAGAGCCCCATCCTTAGCACCTGCCCCTGCCCCCTGCCCCAAAGCTTGTTCAGAGCTGCTCAGCTCTGGGGGACAAGGCAAAGCTGCCACTTATGGAATCGCTGTTAACCTGAGGGCAAAAAAGGCTTTTGCTTCCTTTCTGCAGATGGTCAAAGAACCTGTGTTTGCCAAAATTTTCTAGATTGGCTGGAACCATCTGGATAATTGTGTCAAGTTCCTCATGGTTCCCACTGAGGTGGGGCTAGGTGGGAGGGGCTCTGTGGTCTGGGAAAGCTGGAGGACAGGGTCTGAGAGTGCACTGACCTCTCCCCTCTGAGCCTTGGATTTCTTGTCAACGAAACAGAAGCCTGCACTGGTGAATGGCAGAGATCTTTCTTTCTTCCAGCTCTGAAGGTCCAGGGCATTTCACCACTGGAAGTTCAGCAAACTACGGCTCGGTGACTCAAGAGGACGAAACGGGGATGCTTCAAAGGAGCAGTGTTTGGATCATGTTAATACGTGGAGCGGAAGAAGGCAATGCGGACCTACTCCACAGCAGGCCCTGGGGCAGCAGTCTGGCAGTGCGCTTCCACTCGCTTAAGGTAAGGTCTGATTTTACAGAAGAGGAAACAGGCCCAGGAAGTTAAGTGTCTTGCCCAACTGTAGCACAGACAGCCAGGAGGTAGGAACCAGAATCCAGGCCCACTCTAACCTTCACTGGTCTTTCCACTGCTGCCTCTGACCTCCTGGGAGCCTGAGCACATTCTTTCAGTTGTTGAGCTCTGAGCATAAGGGTCATCAACTGCTGCTTAAACCTGCTTAAACCATACCTGGGAAGTAAGGGAGCAGACCCCTGAGTTTTCACCAAGGGTTCCTGCCAGGCAGCTATGCCGAAAAACATCTTTTCCTCCCCAGTATGTTAGTAGGAGGTGAGCAGATTGCCACAGCCTTCAGTCTTCTTCCAGACATCAATGGCAGGATGGCCCCAACTCAGGAAACAAAGGGATCTGGGGGGAACCAAAGTCACAGGAGAAGGCTGATGGTGGGGGCTGGTCTCTGCAGACATAGCACCGAGCTGGGTCACAGGTAGGACCCTGTCCCCCTTAAAAGATATCAGCTCCTCCACCTGGCCCTTCATGACCTGAGCCTGGCCCACCTTCCCAAGCTCATCACCTACTCGCCGGACATCCTAAGGCCCATTTGCACCAAGTCTCTACCAACTAGAATATCCTTTCCTATGCCTCTACCCCTTTCTCTGCTTCATACATCCTTTAACACCCAGGTGAAATCTCACCTCCTCTAGGGAGCCTTTGCAGTGTTTGGTCAAGAATCACTCTTCCCTTTTGCCCACTCCCCCTGTGACTCTTGAGTTATTTTGGCAGGATTGCGGTTTATTGGCCAGCTAAACATAGGCATGAAGCACTCTGCTATGCAATTTAACACACAATTTTTTTGAATCCTCACTCCTGCTGTGAGGTGGGGGATTCCACTTAGACCCAATTAAACATATGAGGAAACTGAAGTTCACTTACCCAAGCTCATGTCCCTAGTAAGGGCAGAGGCAGGATTTGAACCCACATCTTTCTGACTAAAAAGTTCACATTCTTTGGCACTTATACCACCTGCTTCCCACTTCCTTAGGAAATTGCCAGTTCCCTTGGAGAATCTGAATACTGGAGGACAGGGCGTTTCATTCATCCTCTGAGTCCCCCAGGGTGCACCCCTCCATGAATGCTTAATTGCATCTGATGACACCAGGTGCATATTGCAGAAATTCCACCAGGAGCACTCTCTTTGCAAGTGGCTAATGTCTTGCAGAGGGGGAACATTCTAAGTCAGCTGGCTGACTAACTGACACTGAGTTGAAGATGAAACAAGGGAGGGAGCAAAGGGGGAGGAAGGCAAGATTGCAGGGGCTCGGAGGGGGCTGAAAGGAAGAAGACTGCTCCTGGGTTGAATGGGGTTGCCTTGCATTTACTCAGACCCTCCTCAAATCCCAGCTCTTTCTCAGTAGCTGGGGAAGCGTGCTCAAGTTGCTGCACCTCTCTGAGCCTCAGTTTCTTTGTCCATAAAATGGGCACATTGCAACAGTTCTTGCTGTTCATGCTAGACCCCCTGCTGGGCTGTTTGAGTGCCAGGAGGAATGAGGTTGTGTCTCAGGGAGAGCGGGTGCTGCCTACCAGCCACTTGTAACAATGCTTTTACCTCCTTTAAATGGGGACACTTGGAGGATCAGTCCAACCTGAGATGCCCTTCCCATGAAATCACTGGCCTCTGACAGGAAACTCACAGAAGCAGACTCATAATAAGGATCATGGAGACAACTCAGGTTGCTTTCTTACTCTGAGAGAGCACAGCATGGTGGACCAGCAGATGGGCCTGGCTCCAAATCTGACCCCCAACTACAGTGTAGCCTTGTGCATGTCACTTTGCCCCTATCAGACTGGTTCCTCATCTTTAATATGGAATTAAAAATAATTTCTTTGCATATATGCACCATGTTTATTGCCACACTGTTTGCAATAGCCAAGATATGGAAGCAACCTAAGTGCCCATCAATAGAGGAATGGATAAAGATGATGTGGTACATATATACAGTGGAATATTATTCAGCTATAAAAAGAAAATAAATCCTATCATTTGCAACAACATGGATGGATCTAGAGGGTATTATGTTCAGTGAAATAAGCCAGGTGGAGGAAGACAAATACCATGTGATTTCACTTATTTGTGGAGTATAGAAACAAAGCAAAACAGCATTAGACTCACAGACACTGAGAAGCAACTAGTGGTTACCAAGGAGGAGAGTGGGTATGGGCAGGAGGGGAATGGGAGGGGGACTGTTGAACCACTGTGATGTACATGTGATAAAATAAAAAATAAAAAAAAGGACACACTGTAAAAAAATAAAATAATTCCTTTGCCAAAGCTGTTGGGAAGATGAGAGACCCAGGCAATATGGTACTAGTATTAACTATGGGGAACTGAGGCTCAGAGAGGGAAAGTAATTTGCTTGTGGTCACACATCAGGTTAACAGCAAAACCAGATCTATGCCCAGGCCTCCCAAAGCCCAGGCCTCGGCTTGTCCTTGGACAGCTGTGGCCTTACCTCAAAGAATGCTGAACTGGCCTTGGAAATGGAGCTGGTAGGGGTTCTGTGTTTCACTGAGCTGAGCCAACTGCTTAGGTTGCCTATGGCTGGAGAATGGCAAAAAGCCCAAGTCAGAGCCGGGGGTTATGCATCCAGCCTAGGGTCTATACGTACATAATTCTGGGTATGTTAGGTTGCCCTCTGAGCCTCAGTTTTTCTGCTCACCAAATGGGGGTAGGAGGCCTGGCAGAGTGAAGGAATTATGGAAAGGCATAGAGCTGTTTCCAAAACAGACAGCCTTGAGCTCTCCCATGCATTGAGCTCTGCCATAGCTAGCCATGACTTTAGTCCTCAGAGAAACCCGGCAAGGTGGGAACCCAGTTTGCAGATAAACAGCTAGCAAGGGGTGGATCTGAGCTCTGATCCGGTTCCCTCTGCCTGAAATGCTTACCCATCCCCTTTTCCACACCAGCGCAGGCTCCTTCTTCGGGTTTCAGCATAACCCTAGCTTCTCTGGAAGGATCCCTTGGCCTGAGGCTGGAGTGGGTCCCTGCTCTGGGGTCGCCCCTCTGCACTGGGACTGTTTCTCCCTCCCCTCTGCCAGAAGGGAAGTTGAGTGATGCGAGGGCTCTGCCACGCTGATGGCTGTATTGCCAGAGCCTAGGGCTGTGCTTGTCATACAGCAGGTGCTCAGTGAATACTTGCCAGATGACTGAATGCGTTGTGTCAGCATCCGGATGCCACCTGGGCCCCGAGGGAGCAGGGGAGGTGGGAGGAAAGCTTTTGGATTCCTGCCAGCCTTACATTAGCAGCAGCTTCTGGAGCCCTGACAGCGGCCCCCCGGGATGCTCTTTGAGCCTGCTGAATTCCGGTCATGACTTTACCTTGGAAAGGCAGCCACCGCCCTCACCAAGCAGCCTACTAATTGACGTCACAGCGGTGCCAGGAGCTACCCTGTTAATATTTAATGTGGACTCCACTGCGGCAGAGCTGCAGGCTAGAAGAGCTGGAGGGGGGTGTGCAGAGCCTCCATGGGGTCGGGAGGAGGGCACTGATGGGAAAGAGCTGCATTAACTGGAAAGCCCCCAGCAGATGAGCATTACAATGACCCTTCCTAGCCCCTGGCTTAACTCAGAAAGAGCCAGGACAGCATGTGCCTGCAGCAGGACAAGGGGACTGCTGAATGAGCCCAAGTGATAAATATATGGGGATTAGGGTCTCCCGGGGACATTTCTTGGAGACAGTGGGAGGGCAGAGCGCTGGCGCCAGCCACGCCTGGGATCCATCCCAGGTTCACACTGCACAGCTGTGTGACCTGGGCAGCAATTGTACCATTGAGCCTCAGTTCTCTGATGTGTGGAGCGGGCATAATACGTTCCTTGAGGGGCTTGTGAAGAATTAAATGAGACAAGTAAGGTAGAGGACCCAGCTCATCATGTGGTATAGGACCTCAGCAAATGCTGAGTCCCTTCTGCTAAGCCAGGCATGGGGCCTGAGGTTGGACAGAGGACGTGGCGGCACTTTGCACAATCATTGGCCAATGATATGGGGAGGAAGAAGCAGGGGGCACAGGAAGGGTGACCTTGGAGCCAACGGTCTCAGGTTTGGACTTGTCACCATGCTGGGCAACACCTAGGGGTGATGTTAGAGAGAGGATAGGCAGAGAGCCCAGGACGGCAGGAGCAGAGGGTCCTGGTGCACTGTCCCCTCTGATCCTCTGACCCCTTCATGCAGCAGATGAGGACACTGAGGGCCTAGGAGGGAGCACACCAGCCCAGAGGCCCACATGGCAGAGCTGGGGTCTGACCAGGCCTGCATCAGCTGAGGGATTTATCCAAGGCTTCCCCCCTGGCTGGGGAGGCAGGTGACGTGATGAGATGCCCCCATTCCCTGGGGGGGAGGGCTCCGCTTCTCTGACTTGGCAAAGCAGGACCCCCATTCTCCATCCCTTCCTGGTCTCCCTCCAGTGTGTTTTCCCAAAAACTCTGGAAGCTTCCCAAAACGTAAATCCAACCATGTCGTCTCCTGCTTAAAACCCTCCTGTGGTCTCACACTTAGGGCTGCCAGAGAAAATACAGGAGGCCCAGTTAAAACTGAACTTCAGATAATGTGGCCTTGAAGATCCTGTTGGAATCCTACCTCCTCCCAGCCTCCCCTGGGGCCCATCCTTCCAGTTCAGTCGCCATCCAGTACAGAGAGCAATCTTTCCAGCAGCCCTCAGATCCTCCTGTGACCTGCCGGCCAGATGGTGGTCAGCAAATCCCAGTGAGCTCGGAGGACTCCAGGCCGAGCTAACTGCATTTATTCTCCTCTTACTCAGCAGCCAGTAACCAAAGTCCTAACTCTTCCCTGAAGCAAAACCTCCCACATCCTGTATACCTGAAAAGGAGGCAGAGGAAGCCTCCTTACTTCCCACCTGAGGAAGTGGAAGAACCAGTTGTTTCAAGGCTCAGGCTCTGGACTCCATCATACCTCAGGGCCTTTGCACCTGTTCTTCCCTCTGCCTGAAGCATTCTTCCCAAAGATCTCCGCTTAAATGATGTGGCAGATTAAGGACGGCCACAAATACTTTGCCACTCTCCACCTTCAAGAAGTGGTATCTCATCCCCCTTGCCTTGAATCCAGGCTGACCCCGTGACTTGCTTGGACAGAGAATATGGCAGAAGTGACCCTTTATGAGTTTGGAGTCTAGACCTCAAAAGGGATGCAGCTTTTGCCTTCACCCTGGCAGACTGCCCCTAGACAGCCATGTGAGGCAGCTGGTCTAGCCAACTGCAGGATGAGAGGCCACCTGAAGGAGCTGAAATGCCCCAGTCAACAGCAGCACCAGCTCCTAGATGTCCGAGTAGGGCCTTCTCAGCCAATCCAGCCCAACTGTGCCTCCAACTGTGTGCAGCCACATGTGTGACCAGGAGAAACAGGCCGCGGACACCCAGGTCAACCAGACTCCTGACAAATGATAAATAATTGTTGTAAGCCACAGTTTGGGGGTTACCTGTAGTAGGTAACTGATACACCTGCCTCCTCCTCATTCAGGCATCTGCTCAGATATCACCTCCTCAGAGAGTCCCTTCCTGACCATCCTGGCTAAGACAGCACATGCCCTGCCGCTTGCTCTCTATTCCATTGTCCTGTTTTATCCTGTCCAAGCATTTATTCACCTAATGGACTTACCGGACAGACGTGTTCTCCACTAGGCAGCAGGTTCCCGGAGGGCAGGAGCCATAACGGATTGTTCCTTGACATCTCGCTGGTGCCTTTGTGGTGTCAGGCGTGAGGAAGATGCTGCAAATTGTTACTGGTGGTGAAATCATGTGCCTGCCCCTTGCTGGTGTGGCCCTTAGGGGAGCAGAGTGGCAGGCACGAGCTCCCACCTTGTGATGTCCTCCCAAATCCGTGCCATTGGGAGGGCAGGAGGGCAGGCCAGGTGGCTGGGCTCTGTTTCAGGGACAAGAGCTTCAGGGAGCCTGAGTTGAGCAGGAAGAAGAGGAAATGGCCAAAACGTTCATTTTCAGCAGGGGCTCAGATTCAGACTCGTCACAGGTTTTCTCTCCTCCACATCTGTTGCCAACCACAACAGCCTAGCCACGTCCTCCTGAAAGGGCTGCAAAGCTGGGTAGCAGGAGACGGTGCTGGGGACACTGAGTCACTCCTACGGGCCAAGTATTTCTAAGTCCCTAAAACAAGGCAGATCCTCTGAGCCTTTTTCCAGTGCCCACCCCCCCAAAAAAAGGTCTAGCCACAGCCTCAACTAAGGATAAAATGCACACCCAAGATCAAAAGAATCTGCTCTCAGATGCCTTTTGGATCTACTAGCTGCATTCTGTAGTGGCAGAGGGCACAGCACCACTGCTCAAGCAGGCCTGTTTTCAGGGTTTCATGTTGGAATTCCAGATGCACGGCTAACTAGCTACGTGACCTTAGCATGCAGCCTGACCTTCCTGAGCACCAGTTTCTGCATCTATAAATAGTGGACAGTGAACACCTAACACCTAAGGCCGTGATGAGGAGGCAATGAGATGGTGTACCTGAAGCACACAGAAACCTTAAACTGGTTGGATACCCATACGTTAAGCTTATGAGTATTTCTTCACATCTCTGGTGGTGGAGGGGCAGGGTCTGAAGAGCAAGGTTTGCAGGGGACAGACCCTCCCTGGGAACTGGAGCCACATTTAGGAGTTGCCTGGTAGGGACTTGAGTTACGGTGTTACACCCTGGGTCCACATTGGAAGCACTGGAATGCCTGATTCTACTTGGCACTCTTCTCTGAACAGACGAGAGGACCCCTCAGAACAGCCCTCCAACTTCCCTGGAGGTCCCCTGTATAGGTAAGTCAAGGGTTTGGGGGTAGAGTCCTGATAAGGATTCAGGAGGCCTGGGTTGGAAGCCAGGCTCTGGCACTAACAAGCTGTGTGACATGGAACAAACTGCTTAC